AGCCTGGTCTACATAACAAGTTCCAGGGACAGTTGTACAGAAACCCTGTCTCAAAAACAAATGAGAAACAAAACCAAAACAAATACACCCCAAAACCCACTTGTAACTATTTCTAGTAAAATGATTGGTACATCCTGTGTATACTTTTGTTCTCCCTGTTAGACTCTGTATTCTCTTAAGGTCATATTTCTGCCTGACCAAGTGCCTCCGCAGCACTTCCTATAACTGACTCTAAAATGTGCTTTTGGAAAACTAAAAGCATGACTAGAAGCTCACGTGTGATGCTCAGCCAAAACTGAGAGTCCTGGGTTCCATGCTGTATTTAGACAGTTATCAAACTAGCTGTGACTTATAAGAAAAATGCCACATGGGAAACTTTGGAGAAAATCAGGATAGTGAGCTTTAACAAGAGGGGATGTCAGTGGAGACGGGTGGGTCCAGGGATGAAAGGAGGTAAGTGTGGTGGTCACAAGAAAGTCGTTTGAAGCTCATGAGAGGAATGTTTTTCTCAGAATGAAAGGTACACTGTTTGTGGGCAGTGTAGACTTTCAAAGACAGAATAAGCCCATGTGGGAGTATGGGGGTAGGGAGTTGTAACACCTGCTAAACTGGATTAAAGGTCTTTGCAGCTCTCTCAGTCACTTCAGGCCTGAGGTTGCAAGCAATCAAGGTTTCTCCCATTCTGTGACAGAATTTCTAAAGACCGTGGATCAGTGTGTGACATGACAGAGACTAGTTTCTAGACCCTGTTATGGGGCCATTATTTATTGTTATTGTTATCATCATCATCATCATCTTCCCATCTGTATTACTAAGAACACTTTTGGTAATCTCAACTGAAAGCACCTGGGAAAGCACAGGGTATTTGAAGCAGTACTACTTTTTCTACACAAAACCTACAAACAGTGAGATTTGTTGACTTGTTTATTGTCTTATACCTCTCTATCATGGACTAAACAAATTGTAGCATATGTTGAGGTACACACTGGAATTAACAGAAATTCAAAAAACAGAAGCATGATCATAAAGACTAAAAAGTAAATAGAATTATGGATAAAAACACACTTCTTGTACACATATCAAGAAAATGCAAGAAAAAGCAGACATCACCTGATAGGGCTTTATGAAGGAATTCTTAGATTTAGAGGTGGCCAAAGTTCACAGTGGTTCCAGAGTGGCCTCAGGCAGCCACTAGCTAAAAGGGAAGATGGACTTTATGCATCTAGGCAAGAGCTTCTCAAAGACCTGGGCCTTTGGTGTTTTGTTTTATCCCAGTGTGATGATGAGCTGTGCTGGGAAATGAAGAGGGTGAGGTCTCACTTTGGGAATAAAAATCAAGAATATTTTAAAACCATTTTCCTTGGAGAGACATTAATTTCACTCTCCAGAGATATAAGAATTTCAGATCCTTCCATATGACGAAGATAGAAAAAAAGAGTTTCTGGGCTCACTACCTGAAACTCTCACCCCTGCACAATAATCAGGCCAATATTAAAACTTAACCTGGAATCCAGAGGCATGCTTTTTGAATACTGAACTTTAAACAGCTTCAGATTCCTTGCAGAACCTAGAGATTATGAAGGCAGAGATCTTGGAATCCAGGGACAACCTCAAGATTTAAGTAATAGAGAATATGACCTTGGTTATATTCATTTATTTGTCTCTACTGTCCCCTATCCTATTTGCTATTCAATCCTTCCATCTCCCACTGAACCCTCCACAAGTTCAGGGTCTCTTCTAGAATAGACATTTCAGAGCAGTGAATAAACATGAGATGCAAACTTATACAGATATTGGTTAAGTCCAACCATGTACCCTGATCACTGTAAGAAATTAACTTTCTTTCAACTTAGAACATGATCTTCATAGAATAGTTAAGTGTCTATAAGGGACAGAGATTCAAGTGGGAAAGGGCTTGTTTGATTTGAGTTGAACGCAGGGTACTCCATAGCCTCACCATAGGCCCTGTAGCAGGTCTTTATTTCCCATACCTCCGTAGGTTTTTCTTCAGTGTCTGTTCTTCTCATGTAAATATTTAACGTGCCTCTTCTTCATTGTGGTTTCTGATCGAATGGGTCTTGTTGAAAAAAGAAGGAAAGGGAAGCTGCTTCCTCTTACTGTCAAGTAATGTATGGGAGTGGAAAGGAAATGGAGTTTGACAAAGAGATTTCTCCTCTTTTGGAGTTCTGAAGTATTGAAAGAACAGGTGAAAATAAATGTCTGCTCTCACTGTTGTTATATTAGTTAAGCTGGAATAATGACTTTAAATCCTAGATGTGGAATTCAAAAGAACTTAGACAAAAATATTGCAATATCACAGAATCAGTTTCAAATGCGGGGGGGGGGGTAAGTGCTGTGACTCTACCATGTCCCTGGTGAACTTTGGCTTTTGTACTTTTATAAAATCTGTAACTATCTCTATCAAGTGAGTGGATAAATAAAAATGCCCAATTATTTATTCATTTGGGTAGTGACAATACTATAATATCAGTGCAATACATAACATGACATCATTGCAAATCTTCACATAAAAACTTTATTGTAAATGCCAAAAGTCACTAGTTGGAAAACATTTGCACATCCATGTTTATTGCTGCACTAGTCACAATAATCAAGATCTAGAACCCACCTACATATCCGTCAACATATGAATTGATAAAGATAGTATGCTATATCCATATGATGGAATTTTAATCAGCTGAAAAGAGGGTAAAATTAGGTCACTTGCAGAAAAAAATAGGTTGAACTGGAGTTCATCTTGTGAAGCAAAATAATTGAGATTTAAAAAGAAAAAAATTTTCTAGTATGCAGGACTAGATTTAGATGTGAATTGATATGAAATGTATAGATAATGCAAAAATAAAAAGGCAATCAATAGGGGAGAAAATAAAGACAAATACTAAATGGTCTCTTTTGTGATTGTACAAATGTGAAAATGTGTATGTGCATATGTGTTTATGCTTGTGCATGTTTGTTTGTAATATGAAAGCAAAAGGGGTACTATTTGGAGGAAGAAAAAGCTGACAGAGAATGGAGAGATGAGGAAAGGTTTGTGGGAGTAAATACAAGCCAAGTAAAATGTTATACCTATGTGAAAATGCCATAAATACACTCTTTATTTATACTACAGTATACATTCAGAAAGAAAACTTTGTCGTTTTATCTCACATGTAAATCATGCACACGCACACACACACACACACACACACATGACATTAAGGTAGTAAAAGGATTATTTAGGAAGTGGAAGGAACTAGCAGAAGTGAGATGGAGAACAGGAGAGTGTATGTAATGGGGGAATATGTTCAAAGCACTTGATACACTTGAATGAAAATACTATTACATCAGTACAACAAATAAAAAATTATAAAACATTTTATATGAATATTGTGTTAAATTTTAGCCATTTGCAAAGAATTTATGAGGTTTCTGCCAGCTGAAATTTAAGTGGAGAAATAAACACACCCTTTTAAACTTAAGAAATCTCTTAAACTTACACGATTTCTCAAGAGACTTCCTAGTCAGGACACTTGTACACTTTGAATTCTCGCTGATACACTATGATGTCTCATCTCATCATAACAGCTAACCTGTTTTCCCTTTAGTCCTATCTACTTACTTGACAGTCCTATCTAAATTGTTCAGTATCAGTTGGGTTTAGATAACAATGATCAGAACTGTGAGGAAAGCAGGGGTGTATCATGGAACAGCCAGTGTGAGGGCTGGAGGGTGATCATCAAATTATCATCTAAAGCTAAGCTTATTTAACCTCTACAACCTTATGGTGATTGGATAACAGTAAGTCTGTGTGTGCTGTCTTCATCACGACTTCCACACTCCTGAGATGAATTAGGTTTCCCATCTTAAGAAAACTATCCACTAGACTTGAATAATCTCTTTAGACCTTGTTCCTATGCGTCTCAAGAGGAAGCTTCAATGAACAAAATTAATTATACTTTTCCCCAAACATTCTAGGCTACTATTCTAAGTCAAAAATACCAGAATAAGTCCAGCAAATTTTTAAGACCCAAACTGCTGTATCCACTCACCAGAATCTCTTTCATGAATTCAGAGAGGAGTCATTGGAGTTGGCACTATCCACAAATTTCCAGATGTGCATTATGATGATGCTGACCCGGGAATCACACACTGAGAACTGTTTCCAAACACTACCTACTATGTGTTCTATCACTCTTACTCCATAGCAAATGTACAGCACTCGGTACCTGAAAAGTGTTCAGAGACTTACTAAGCTTTCTAAGCTATAGTTATCAAGTTCTTATTTAGTGCAGTTCTCATTTGGTAAAGTAAATGTGGAACTCAAGATTTTGTCTTCTAACAAACTATGAAGTGTGTCTGTGTTGCTTATTGGACCATAACTGGAGAGCTAAGGTTGTACATTTTCTGGTTAAATATTTTTCCTCAGGCAATGTACAGTTTTGGTGGGGGTTTTTTGCAAGACCTTAACCCTCCATTCATACTGCCATCCTGAAGCAAACCCTCTAGCTAACCTCTGTCATCCTTCAGAAGCTACTTCCTAGCTACCCACCAAAACCTGTCTTTATTTCTACAAATGTATCAATGCCAAGCTTCTATATCATTTCTCCTGTATTTAAATTTACCAGCTCATTCTTTGTGAATTAAGAATTCGCAGTGTTCAAGACATTTTATCTGCAAGACTTTGTTATTTCCGAAAAATAATTAACTCTTGGGGGGTTAATAATTGTTGTTTGTACAACTTTTGACATGTATATCTGTTCATTTAACAATGTGATATACTCACCATTATGACATTTTTGAGCAACTAACACAAGATTCATAGCATCAGTGTCCAATAACTAAACACATGATTGTATTAAGTTAGACATTATTTTATTGATTCCAAATTCACAACTATCAAGAGCCTGAGTCTTCTATGTTGTATTAGCGAAATTCTTAAATTTGGCAGACAAGGCTTAGTCCTTCCTCTAAAGGAGCTCTCTCAGTGTCCACAGCATTCCTCAGGTCTGAGATTTATGGAAGACCTTGAGGATGCCTCTGCGTATCTCCTTCGTCTTCACGCTATAGATGATGGGGTTGAGCATGGGTGGTACAAAAAGATAGACATTGGACATCATAACATGAACAACAGCAGGAGCACTTTTCCAGAAGCGGTGGATCATAGAGACAGCAATTATGGGGACATAAAAGGCTAGCACTGCACAGATATGTGATATGCAGGTGTTGAGTGCCTTGAGTCGCTGCTCCTGGGATGCAATGGCCAATACAGCTCTCAAGATCAATGCATAGGACAGAAGGATGAAAACTGAATCTACACCATATGTGAAAATGACCACGAAGAGTCCATAGATATTGTTAACATGAATATCTCCACATGCCACTTTCATCAGATCTGGATGGAGGCAATATGAGTGATGCAACACATTGCCTTTGCAAAAGGGCAATCGTTTTACAAGAAAGGGAAAAGGGAAGAGGGTAGTGAAACTTTTGGTAAGGATACCCAGACCCATAGCCAAGATGCGGCTATTGGTAAGTACAGTAGAATAGCGTAGTGGGTCACAGATAGCCACAAAACGGTCAAAGCTCATGGCAAGAAGTATGCCTGATTCCATGAAAGAAAACGTGTGAATGAAGAACATCTGGACCAGACAGGCATCAAAACCAACATGGCGGTAGTTGAAGCAGAAGGTAGCAAGCACAGTGGGAAGTGTAGATAGGGACACTCCCAGATCATTGAGAGAGAGCATAGAGAGGAAATAATACATGGGCTGGTGCAGAGGAGGTTCCCGAATGACCAGAGCAAGGATACTGAGGTTACCTGAAATGGAGATGAAGTAGAGGAGGCAGAAAATCAGGGCAATCCAAGCTTGGCCTGTCTGCATCCCAGGAATGCCTGTCAGCTGTAGTGTGGCTGGCTGGAAGGGAGTACCATTCAAGACTAGCATGGCAGACGGGTGAGAGAATGTAGATGAGAATTCAGCCTAAGAGGGGATGTGAAGGGAGTTCTTCACTTTCTTTCTTTCAGATATTCTGTCTCCAACACAAAATGTCAGGGTTTTAATATGTGTGTCTGCATTCTATTTACCCAATTAGACTGTTAGTTCTTTGAGAAAGGAATTTATTTCCACTCAGTTCTGTATTGCCAGGCTACGTATACTCCCTAGGACAGAGTGGAACTCTGTGAAAGGCTGGTAATCAAACAAATGCCTATAACATAGCCACTGGGTAGAAGGCTCCATGAGCAAAGTCCTCTTGACATTACCATTAAGTGCAGTATTCTACCATTTCCCCATGTACTCCAGAAATCATATACTGGGAATTGGAGGGAAAAATAAAATTTAAAGTAGGCCAGAAATAAGAAAATGTTCGTGCCTTCCTTTGAGAACTCATCAGTTTATAGCATAGATACACTAAAAGCAGCCACAGAACTCCAGCTCCAATAACCTTTAACCAGACTGTGCCTCAACCTCCCAAGGTTATGTTCACCCTGAAATTGTCATCACACACAAAAGAAAAATTCTACCTCTGAAACCTTAAGTTCCATGGTTTCACATTTTAACATTAGGTTTTACTTTCCAGATCTTTTGCTGTCTAATGTTTATGCATTGCTTAAAAAACACTAGAATTGTTCAATTTTTCTCTGGTCAATTTGTCTATTAACTTTTCCTTTTTGTGTCCTTCCTGGTATATTCTCTACTGAGACAGTTACCCTAATCTCTGCCTTCCTTCTCTTTGAAATCCATATAGAAAACCACAGATGTTTTAAAAAATAAAAACTATAACCATCAAACCACAGAAATAAAATGTTTTATTGGAATTACATATATTATTATTGCTACTTAAATTTTTAAATGTATTTGTACCTTTACTTATTCTTTTACCGAAGGCGGGCACTCTACTTAAGAATCCATTCCTCCTATTCATTCCAGACTCCTATTCTAGCAATCCCCTGAACAGTGCTCTCAATCTTGTTCCTTTTCTTCAAACAATAGCTGCATACAGAAGCACCCATCATAAAGACACAGTAACTTTTCTCTCTAGTTCCCAGTCATGGCTGTTCCCCACATGTAGCAAATTTCTTTTTGTAAATCTTTCCTGACACCAGGAAGATTATCTGCTTCAGTGTCTGCTTCCTCAAAATGACTCTGAGATCTTAATGACAGGGAACTGATCTTGTTGAACTTGACCTTCTAGTGCTCCTTATTTTGTTGTACTGTAGTTAGCACCCTTTCGCCATCCAAGCATATTTCTCTATGATGACCTATTTGTTTCTAAATGTAATGAAAACATATTTCTAGTATAATGAACTGCCTTTCAGAATTAATACTGTTGGTAACTCACCTTGTTAAAGCAGAGAAATTTCCTCTCTTGTAGAAACTGCTTTTTTTCTGTTTAAAATAGATTCTTCTCTCATAAAATATATCCCAATCAGTTTCTCCATTCCACTCCTCCCAGCTTCATCCAAGCTCCCCTCTTCCCCCAGATCCACTCTCCCTGTTTCTCTCAACAACTGCTTCTTAATTTTCTACCTACATTAGTCTCTTTATATCCTTTGCCATTTCTAGAGTTTTCATTCCCTTTTTAGTACCCTTGTTAAGCACACTGAAATTTGATGGTGGCAAGAGTCTGGAGAAAGAAAAGTTGCTAGTCATAATCCTAAAAGCGGATGGGATGTGAGACAAAATCTTGGCTTCTGTGTCCTCCAACAGATAAATGAAAGCATTCCTTTCACTAGTGGGCTTCTTCTCATCTGTTCTCATCTACAAACTTCTCTTTCCATTTCAAACCAGAATTAAGGTTGACATCTCTAATAATTTTCATTTTAGATACAGTCTACCCAGATCTGAACATTTTATTATTTTTAGACTGTGTGTCAGTAAGAAACGGAAAAAGTGGCAACTCTAAGGAACACTAAGAATTCTTCCAAAATATAAACTAAACTTAGTTCCTTTTTCTCCCTCCCGCTCTCTGTCTCTCTCTCTATCTCTATTTCTAAACCTCTCTCTCTGTCTCTCTCTGTCTCTCTGTCTCTCTGTCTCTGTCTCTGTCTCTGTCTCTCTCTCTCTCTCTCTCTCTCTCTCTCTCTCTCTCTCTCTCTCTCTCTCTCTCTCTCTCTCTCCTGAGCCAACTGAAGGAAAGGAAGGTTTCAGACATTCCTGCCTGGATAGAAGCTCTGAAAACTTCCCACAAATAGCAATTCACAGTCAACTGAAGCATTTTCTTTGATTTTCTGTGTATATGTTAGTCAAATGCAACTATTCTAGAAATAAAGGCCAGAAGACAAAACACAGCATCTGTGAGCATGCACATAGCCAGAGCCCCTCTAACATCTCAGGAAATGCACATTTATACTTTCGCACATGCATGTCTAAGCATTTAAAGTCACCATCTCACATCCATAAATGTGACATGAATGCACAGGACCTACCACGTCCTCCTTTGTCACCCCGACACTATTATAGCATAGAACTTAGGAAAACCTATTGCTGCTTATTACTACATAATATAAAATATTACAAATAAGTGTTCATGTTTATACTCACCTTTACTTATAAACTCCCCACACATACTCACACAAGGAACAACAAGTGCACCATCATTTACAGATACAAAGTAACACCCTCAATAATTATATTCTCATTAAATAGTCAACAAGAAATCAACTAAAATTAGAAAGCATGCTGTTGAATGGGAAATTTGTTTGTATGGAGACTTTTTTGGTTTTTCTTTGTTTTTAGTTTGTTTGCTTGCTTGCCTTTGTAGCTGTGTACAGAGAATCATAATTCAAAATATAGGCTTCTTAAATAAGAGGTTTGTAAAACCCTCAAGACAAAGTATAAATTGAATGCATCATCCTCTTAGCCTAGTGACAAGCAATTGGGTATCAGAGCTTTGATTCTGATAGGAACCTGCCATTTTCCTGTGACTCTTGCCTTTAATAGGAGATATATTGTGGAGAAGAGATGCTCAGATTAGAAAAATGACAGCATTTAAGCTATCAGAATAAAAACCACTATGGTGGGCTTAAGGGAGGAGGACTCACTGGATGGAAGCTGTGCCTTTTGTTTGTAGCTGGATGTGCTGTGCTGTGGATCCAGCCGTCAGAGCGGCCTCAGTACATCTCTTTAGGACATAAATTTATGAATCCCTCCAAATCCCAAAAGTCTTTATGAAATAGAAGAGCAGGAAATTGGCATAATTAGCACGGTGACATCAACGAATAAGGGAGCTGTTACAAAGGAGAATTGCGCCCAGGAGGAGGATCTCATTCTCGGCCTCAGTGTTTTTGATGTCATCATCCACACCTACTAGTGTTTCAATATTTCCTTGACGGGATGTCAACACACTAAACATGGTGCAGGGAAACATACATAGCTATAGTCTCCCCAGATCCCACAGGTACATCCTTGAACACTAGGTTACTTACTAATATTCACATTTTATGTTTGCAAGTAACCAAAGGACCACATAAAATATTGAATTACAATAAATGATATAAATGCTCACACATTTAAGGGAATGTATAATCATGTCAACAAGTTTGAAAAGTTTCCAAAAAGCAAGATGACTATATAAGTGGTTAATAGGGTGGACACATAAGTAGGCAGGAACCATGCACAGCCACCTTTTCGTGGAACATTGACAGTGTTATGAACAAAGAGGCATCAGTCTCCTTGGACAGGTCAAGTTCTGAAGACAAGGGTAGGGTTCACTAATACATAAACTCTAAAGTAGCTCCCAGAGAAATCTGCCTGACTTTGAAAAAGAAAATTGTTAAGTACAATAAAATCTCTATTCCTCAGAAGTTGGCAGACTTCACCAGTTACCTGGTCATGTTTTGTGGTCTTATGGTGAGTTAGCTAGCATTTTGATTAGTGCTTATTGTGACTTTGAAGACCCATGGTAGATCATTTATCCTAAAATACCAACGTTATAATCAGAGTAAGATCAGGCGGTGGTGGCACACACCTTTATTCCCAGCATTCTGGAGGCAGAAGTGGGTGAAACTCAGTGAGTCAGAGACCAGCCTGGTCTTCAAGAACTAGTTCTAGAACAGCCTCCAAAGCCACACAGAAATCCTGTCTTGAAAAAAATCAGAGTAAGATGAACTAGCTAGTTTTCATTCTAACAAGGCAAAGCTTGTTTGCCCTAGAATCCACTCCACACCCTTGTGTGTCTGTTCTCCATATAACAAGTGCTGAACTGCAATTTTTAGAATATTCCAAAGTCCTGTATCAGTCACTCTCTAGATAAACTCAGCTGGTGGGAAGCATTCACAGGTACAGAGTCTGTCTGCCCCAGCCTACCTCAGGGGGTCTGTCATGTAGACCACACCTCTTCCATTACTTCTGTGCTTGGGTTCGCCTTTTCTGATATCTAATAATTTCACCTCACATCATTACACAGTAGTAGCATCTGGTTACTGTAATCTCCAGGATGCATCCCTGCCCGGTCTTCACCTTCTCAGTTGCTTTGAAATCTGCCTAAACAATTTCCAGGATCAAATTCATTTCAAAATCTATGCTCATTGTATTGTAACTGATCTCTCAATTCCATCTTCAGTGTTATTTGTGATTTTATAGCTGTCCCTTCTTTGCCAATCAGCACTTAAGATATGTGGCTATGAGACATGAAGAGCCTAGTCAGGGAGGAGGCTCTCATGGCCATATTTGTTTTATACTGCTGTGTCACTCAACAGTACTTCTGGTGACTAATACCAGATGCATTAGTTGGTTCCACATTGCAGCTTCAACACTAGTTGAAACAAGTTAGTGTTCTTAAATACCTCAAAACATGAGAAAATCCTCCTCCAATCCCCTTTCTCTGAAGAGCAAATATCAAACACAACTAACTTCTCCTCTGAATGTTGGAGAGTCCATGACCACCTGATCGATGGTGTCCCCTAAAAATCTTTTTCTCCCTTTTTTAAAATTTAAATTAGAAA